ACAAACCATAAATCAATGGAAAGCTTATTTATTCAGCTTTCAGATGATGTATAAATTAGGGCATGCGATATTTAACGCGCATCTTGATGGTGATGGAGGTGATGGAGATTTACCGCTGATTACAGAATGGCTTTACTGACAAGATGCGCGTTAAATATCGCATGCGATTTATCGTGCAGCCCTAGTATAAATCTCAATTTCGAAAAATTGACACTTAAGACTGGTTTTGTGGTCCAGGGTCACATTTGTGGTCAAATGCAAGCGCAAACACGGTAAAGTGTTAGTTTGTTTTTCCAAATTAAAGAAAAAAAATTTTGGGAAGTTTCTAAGAAAACTAATTGAGTGTGCAAAATATCAAATTTAAATCCCTCATATTATAATCAGTTTTAGTTTTAGTATTTAAACATTTTATTTAATTTAGTTGCCAAGGCAACTTTTAATTTTAATTTAGTTTTTTTTTTTTACCCAATATTTGTATTTTGTTTTTTTTCAATTTATTTCAATTTAAAAAATTTATAGTTTTGGTTTTCGTTATCAATAAAAGTGTTGTCTTATTGGTCAGAATTTTAATATCAACGCATTCCAAATTAAAATAAAATAACTTTTACATCACAGCCTTTTGATATTTCTGACCTGTGATGTGCTAATGTAATTTGTTGGCTTCACCATATTTAACAAAATTAGCATTATAATAATAGTAGTAATTCAATTTAATTACCAGTGGATTTGTGTTAATAAAGAAGAATATACACTAGAATTTGTTCTAACATTTTACCATCTAACTACCGTCAAAAATGGAGGATGGTCATTTGTATAGAACTGGACAGTGAAGACAGCTGAACCAAAGACTGCTGACAGAAACCATCCATTCCCCCCTTTAGAGACCGTAGTTTCTATCAGCACATAGATATCCGATAGCCCTGTACAGTCAAATGTGGCCCTTGTGCATATACAGTGTCTGATTCACGGCTGTCGCATTGCTCAGGGCTCTCCTTATATTGTATTTTGATGATGGGTGAATGAAATGGTGCGATACATTAGTCCTCCACGAGTCTGACGCTAATGAATGATGATGGTGCTAATGGTCTTTCTCTCTGACCATCCAGTCACTAATCACAATATTACTTTGACAATGTTAAATCTACTCAGTGATTGTGCTTTAGTCACATGTAAAGTCTACAGAGACGATGTAAAATGAATAGTTCACCCAAAAATGCTCTTTCCACATGAAAGTGAATGGAGACTGTAAAAAGCTCCAAACTGACACAAAAGCATGGTAAAAGTAGTCCATATGATTTGTGTGCCTTATTCCAAGTCTTCTGAAGTCATATGACAGTTTGTGTGAGGAACATACCAATAATTAAGTCAATATTCATGGAAGATTTGTATGATATGCTGTAGCACTATACTCAGAATGGCCATTTGGTACTGAACCTACAACATTTGCATATTTGTGAAGTGTTTTATTGTTAAACACTGTTTTTCTCTCATTAGGTCATGTTTTGATGGAGCGAGGTCATAATTGGCTTGTTGTTCTGTTGGGCAGATGTCCAAGGCGGTGATCTAGAGATTGCACATTGCAAACGCCTCACACATGCACATGGGTGAACTTCAACAGGAACAGCCATGCTTTGCTACACTGCTCCCATGAGAGGGGAGAATGGGAAGACTCAAAGAATAAGAGAATAAAACCAAATCAAGCTGGAAGAGAGAAAACCTGCTGAGGTCACAGTCAGGGTTTTACTACGTAAACTCAAATTGGTAATCTAAGGATTGCTTTTTCCATAGCTCTAGAGACTCCAAGGAATAGTTCACCCAAAAATAACAATTCTGTCACCATTTACTCAGCCTCACATTGTTCCAAACACAAATTGAGATATTCTTAATGAAACCGGAGAGGTTTCTGTACTTCAATTGAAAGTCCAGGTAACTGAAAAAAGGACCTAAAAAGGTCATAAAGACATTGTAAAACAAACCACAGGAATTGAGCTGTTTAATCCAAATCTTGTGAAGAGATGTGATCATTTGATGGTCAGATTTAATTTAAGCTTTCATTTACATCTAAACTATGTTAAGCACATTTCATATGGTAAACATGGAAGCTTAAACGTGTGTGCGATGCATGAGAACTAATGAGGATTGTTCTAGCATGTGAAGCATGCACAAGCTGTGTTTGCCAAATGTGATCATTATTTAAATGTTAAAAAAATTCTAAATTAAATCTGTTCATCATATAAAGCAATCGTATCTTTCCACAAAACTTGGAATAAACCGCTCAGTTTACATGAATTCATTTTACAATGCCTTAATGACCTTTTTGGATCTTCTTTCAATGGAGGAACAGAAACCTCTTTTCCGAATTAATAAAAAAAAAATATCTTAATTTGTGTTTCAGAAGTCTTATGGGGTTGGAATGACATGAGGGTGAGTAAATGATAGAATTAAAATTTTTGGGTGGACTGTTCCTTTAATGGAAATTTCAGTTATGCTTTATTTAAGTATCAACTTTTAGATGTTTCTAAAACTGAAATAAAAATAGACACAGATCAGACACATTGAAAAAGCCCATTCACACCAAGAACGCTACCTATAAAGATATCTATATTAGCGTCCACACACCAACGTACATTAAGCTTGCGCTGCAGTTTTGTCGCCTGTGACTTTAAGTGCTTGAGCTCTTTAAGGAAGGATGGATTCTGATTGGCTGTCAATGTTTTTATTGTTCAATAACTGTAAATTTTTTTTTTTTTTTGTGATTCCAACAATATCAGTTCCTCTGTGCTGTTATTGTTTTAGTTGTGGTATGGACTCTGCTATTCTTTTAAGTTTAAAATGATTTTTAAAACGATATCTTTATCGTTATACAGTAGTTATCGTCCTTGAAGTGAATATGCCTTGAGAGTATAAAGCAATAAAATAAACGTAGATAAAGTTCATATGGAAATCCCTGACTTTTCAAGTATCTTGAGCACAGATTGAGATAGTGTTGATAGTGTTGATCTCTATAGGAGACACATGGCATGAGTTTGGGACAGGACTATCTGCTTGACCAGTGGTAGAAAACAGGCATCATTTTTTTTCAAATCTCCATTTGGTGATGCTAGTGGTGCAGAATTGATGCACTTTACCTTTAAATAAACCTCCCTTTGATCTGCATTTAATCCCATTTCTGTCTGGGAGAAACAATTGAGATATTACAGAGATCTAATTTCCTAGTAGAGTTTCTTATGCAATCATGTTCCTGCATGGCAGCTCGTTTATTAAAGAGAGAAAATAAAGCACAGCTCTGATGGGTCGGGTGCAAGTGTGATGTTCATTAGGAGGGATGTTTGTGCCCTATTAAGCTCACCTTTTAGCTGCAGTGCAGCTCTAATGTCTGTTAGTCTGGACGCTTGATGGCCTACTGAATGTCATTTGCAAATCATGAGGCATTTTCACCTCGTTCGTCTCCGAGAGTGCTGTAATAATGCAGTATTCTTCACCCTATTAAATTTCACTATTAAATTTGATCAGACAATTCTCTTTGCAACATTTCTGTAGTTTTGTTGATGCAGTGGAGAAGTACTGTTATTTTTTCGTCAGTATTTCACAGGAAGCTTCATTCCTTTTCCAGGTAATCAGTAGCGCCACCCAGGCATGCAAAAAGAGTTTTAGACAGGAACTTAAACTGCTAAAATGAGCTTGAACCACACACATGCACATCTTCACATACAGAGTGTGCAATACATTTTCGATATCTTCAGCGAGATGCAGCATTTACGGGTGGATATGGACAGTCATCTCTGCAGATCCTGTGTGTCATCCCTTTACTTAGGATTCAGAAACTTCTCCAGCCCACTAAAACAAGTAGTCAACAGATATTAAATATGTACATATGCATATACATCATTTGGACTATAATTCAATGTAGATGCACCTGCTATTTTAAACAGGTGAATATCCATTTTTTGTCTATCCTACAAAATCCACTGAGTGACAGGCTGAATGATAGTCTCATAGTCAAAAATGATATGCATGGCATGTTAAAATGGTTTTACTTACATTAGGGTTGAGAATTAGCCTGCAAAATAGTCACCCCAATAAGACTTTGCAATTGCAATTAGTATGAATGTCTTTGCATTACGTAACAAAAATCAAATGAAGTGTCATTTATTTGAGATAAATTTAGAACAGTGTTCTAGAAAAAAGAATGTATAGTATTTAAAGAAAATTACACTATTTTCTAGCAAGTTTTTAATAATTTTGAATCTAATACAATCACATTCAAACATTTTTAAATTATGACTCATGATACTTTATGAGGTCAGTGTAAATGCTGAAAACATTTACTTTCTAACGTAAATATTTTGTACTATTTATTTCTAATAGTAATCTGATTGTAGACACGGTTTTAACTTTTAGCAAATGCTCCAAAACAGACCCTACAGACCCCTTTAGATCAGGGTAAGTTTGAAAATATATCTGTTCTATAATATAGAAAAATGTCATATTGAAACAGTCAAAAGTCATACTAAAACGTGAGTAAACATAAAGGTGATCTGAAATTGCTCGTATCAGAACAGATTTGGTCTGAAATGGGAATTTTACCAGTCTCACTATGGCTTTTCTTGTCTCTTACTTGTCTCATGAATATTAATTAAAGTTTATTTAGTTTTAGAGAAGGTTACATAACATCTGTATGACCTACAGCAATTAATATTCTTGAGATAAGCCATCACCTTTGTAATGGCATTACACACAGTGTGTGCGTCATTTCCTTTCATAAATTTTTTTTTTTTTTTTTTTTTTTGTGCCGGTTCCATCACAGTTAAATCAGAATATCTCTCTTTTTTTGTTAATGTTAAAATTCCTAGCAAGCAAGACAATTATCCATGAATCCAACATGCAAGAATTAGCTTTGAGATTTACAAACATTTTCTGGTGGTAACTTCCATGCAGCCAGCCACAAATGCTCTCTGAGTGTGTGTGTGTGTGTGTGTGTGTGTGTGTGTACTAGAAGATGGTTGCTTAAGCACATCTCCTCATATGCAGTCACCGAGCAGGACGCCGTACCAAGCCTGGGTTTTGCATATATTTGTGATTTGACGATACAGCGACAGAACTCAAAGATAAGAGAAAATGAAAGAGAGAGTGTGACATATGCAGAGAGATAGAGCACTAGTTAAAGTTGTACAGAGATCCTGGCCGCCTGCCAATCACTCTCCCCTGCTTTCCTCTCTTTCCTTCTCTGTGGTTGTTTCTCCATGGGAGAGTGAGCAGGTGTGTGAGAGGTGGGTGTCGGGGCTTCTTGTTGCTCCTGTCAGCTGTGAGGAGGGTTTTCTTGCTCAACAGCACCTCGTTCCTGTTGCTCAGCATCTGAGGGATGCACATGCATTTTCAAAAATGATGTAAACTTTATGAAACCCCAAGTTAAAGAAATAGTTCACCCTAAAAATCACTATTATTATTCATTCATTCATTATTTTTCAAAACCTATATGACTGACTTTCTTCTCTGGGACACAAAAGAACATATTTTGAAGAATGGTCTAACCCTTTTTTCCAGTAGAAAAATTAATTTTATTTGTCCAGCACTCTCTGTGGTGACACTATGTGGAATATTCCTCGCTTTAAGTCAACATTCATTCATTTCCATTGGGTAATAAATTTATTATTATTATTATTATTATTATTATTATTATTATTAATAGATATTTAAACAAATAGAAAAAATAATAAAAAAGCTAATTTCAGAAGATATTAGGAAAAGATATTTGAAGAATCAGTAAAAATCACAGTACATTTCTGTTTTGTATATTTCATATGACTCTGTGAGTGACTGTATGACTATGTACTGTTTTTCAGAAATATGCAAGAAAAAATAAATTAAAAAATAGTAATAAAATGCAAACCACAGTATTATGGCTGTTAAGAAAGGTTTAATTATTTATTTGATTTATTTATTTGATTATTTTCCATTCACCCACAAATAAAGAAAACAAATGTTTTACATTTCAGTTTTGTGACTGGTAAGAAAATGTACATTTAATTAACTAATTATCTCCATTTCAGTGTTGGCATAGTTACTTTGTTTTGTCTTCGCAGTGCAGTATGGATTTGTGAGTGAACAGATAGAATTATGCACAGAAGATCTACATTGTTCTCCCAATTTGAGATTGCTCTGATTGGGGCCCTCTGTGTCCCAGCGGCCCAGGGGAGGGGTGAGTGTGATCAGGGTTTGGGGACAGTCCACTCTGCGTCTTGTAAATTAGATTTGCAAGCCACTTACTGGCTGAATGCAACACATTCTTTAAGAGTGTGTGACCTCTAAATTAAAGGTTTTTAATTGCTGTACAAAGGGTCGCTTTTTAGAAGCAGCAGAAAGAAGGGGAAAGTTAAAAGAAGTAAAATAGTGAGAGAATGCGATATTTGATTCTGAACACAAAGCATGGCTGAGCCGCGGGTCTCAGGAAGGAGACCGTTTGATGCAGTGTGACAGAGATCAGGCTGTGTTTAATGATTTCCTCTCCTCACTCTGCAGATCTCATTGTGTTTGGTCCGTCACACGCTTGCACCGTTAATAATGGCGCTGGATGCATCTTTACACTGATTGTGTTTGCTGCCTGTTTGGCTGTTCTTTTCCACAGAGAGCCACAGGGACAAGGACAGACTTGTGATTTTTGGTGAAACAAAGTTTAGTTGAAGGAATCTTTAGTATTCACATGCTTAGTTCTTTCTTTTTAAAGTTTTATAGATAGATAGATAGCTAGATAGATAGATAGAGTGAGCCATCAAATGCTATACCGAAAGATTTTGTATAATGTATGTACGGTTCTGTCCCAAAACCTATACTGCTGACGTCTAAGACAGCATTCTAACAGAGTACTTAAAGGAATAGTTCACACAAAAATGATAAATTTCTGAAAATTGACTTTTTCTTCATCAGAACAGATTTAGAGAAATTTATAATTATTTCACTTGTTCACCAATGGATCCTCTACAGTGAATGGGCGCTGTCAGAATTAGAGTCCAAACAGCTGATTAAAACATCACAATATCCCACAAGTAATCCACACGAATCCAATCCGTGAGTTGACGTCTTGTGAGGAGAAAAGCTGCGTGTTTGCGAGAAACAAATCCATCATTAAGACATTTTTAACTTTAAACTAAACTTCTATCAATAATATTGCTTTCTTGTCTGAATCAGGAAAGAAATATCCACAGATCAAGCTTGGTTTACAAATGAAAACAGTCCAAAAAAGTTAAATATAAAATATTTTGGTGGATTTTGATGTGAGAAGACAACGGGATGGAATTTTTCACTGGAGGAGGCATTATTATGGATTATGGACTGGTATTTTGGCTAGAAGCGATGGTTTAAAGTTAAAACACCTCAATGATGGATTTGCTTTTCACTTTACAAGACATTAATTGATGGACCGAGTCATATTTTATCAGCTGTTTGGACTATCATTCTGATGGCACCCATTCACTGTAAACGATCCATTGGTGAGCAAGTGATGTAATGCTAAATAAACCAAAATCTATTCTGATGAAACAACCTAATCTACATCTTGTATTGGTGAGGGTGAGAAAACTGTCAGCAAACTTTCATTTTTTGGTGAACTGTTCCTTTAATGATTGGTACAATGCATTCTGGGAATGTTTTGGCCAAAACAAGGTATCTTAGGAGGCTGCATTATTGTACTGCATACCGTTTGAAAAACAGCCCTACAAGACAGCCTTAAAATACTGCCTATGTAGGAAACCCACTAGATTTTTGAGCCAATTAAGTATACAATAACAACATAGAATGGTAATAAGTGTGATTCTGCATCACAATATCCCACAAGTAATCCACACGAATCCAATCCGTGAGTTGACGTCTTGTGAGGAGAAAAGCTGCGTGTTTGCGAGAAACAAATCCATCATTAAGACATTTTTAACTTTAAACTAAACTTCTATCAATAATATTGCTTTCTTGTCTGAATCAGGAAAGAAATATCCACAGATCAAGCTTGGTTTACAAATGAAAACAGTCCAAAAAAGTTAAATATAAAATATTTTGGTGGATTTTGATGTGAGAAGACAACGGGATGGAATTTTTCACTGGAGGAGGCATTATTATGGATTATGGACTGGTATTTTGGCTAGAAGCGATGGTTTAAAGTTAAAACACCTCAATGATGGATTTGCTTTTCACTTTACAAGACATTAATTGATGGACCGAGTCATATTTTATCAGCTGTTTGGACTATCATTCTGATGGCACCCATTCACTGTAAACGATCCATTGGTGAGCAAGTGATGTAATGCTAAATAAACCAAAATCTATTCTGATGAAACAACCTAATCTACATCTTGTATGGGTGAGGGTGAGAAAACTGTCAGCAAACTTTCATTTTTTGGTGAACTGTTCCTTTAATGATTGGTACAATGCATTCTGGGAATGTTTTGGCCAAAACAAGGTATCTTATGCTGCATTATTGTACTGCATACCTTTTGAAAAACAGCCCTACAAGACAGCCTTAAAATACTGCCTATGTAGGAAACCCACTAGATTTTTGAGCCAATTAAGTATACAATAACAACATAATAGAATGGTAATAAGTGTGATTCTGTTTAAATATTCAGTAAAACTCTTTTATGTTAATGACAGAGATTTCATGGAATTGTATGCATCCCATCAGTGAGATTAATTTAAAGTGGTGTCCTCAAACTAAATGGTGAATGTATCATCTGCTGTTATTAGTGCATATGGAGAAGAGTATAATGATCTCATTAGTATTATTAGTTGTTTTGTATGGAAAGTGTATTTCGCAAATGACTCAATCTATTGATATGTCAATCTGCTACTTGTTTAATTTGGCGGATGTTTTTCACAGAATACATCAGTCAGATCATCCAACATTGTTTGAACCTAAAGTAATTATTTATATATCTGTTATTTGTGTGTATTGAGTTTTTATATTTTAATCCATATTTACTATTTCAGTGTAGTCATTAGCAGACACTTTTATTTCACTAGTTGTTTGTCTTTTAGTAGTTTTAGTCAAAAAGATTTGTACATGTCAAATTTAATATGTAAACACGTTTCAATTTTAGAAGCTCTCCATACGTACGATATTGTACGCATCAGTGGCTTGCCTGTAAAAATTGTATGTTCACTTTTTACATACTTTGAATATTGATGAGATGAGTTAGAGAGGAGTGGAATAAGGAGGAGCTGAGAAGCAAAGCATTTAATTGACAGTGTCAGGAAACTGAGTGATAGATTGCCTGATTACTGGCCTGGCAAGGCTGGTCTCACAGATGGTACATTAACAGCTGCCCTGTGCCCAAACACCATCCTGTCCCTTCATTCCTCCGATCTGCATTCATCCTCTCTCATCACCCCTACCTGTCAGTTTCTGTCTCGCCTCAGTCCTTTACTGATTTAGTCTTCTCAGAGTTCAGAGAAATTGATTTTTTTGACACAAGACTTTCCTTTGCCTTAATAATAATTGCATGAGTCAGACTGAGTCGTACTGTACAGTGCAGTGTACATGTTAAGATGCAATAAAAACCTAATAGCAATACTAATGAATAATGTATTTTATATGTTCTAATTAGTGCTACTTGCTATGCTTATTTGAACAAACCACTACCTCTAAGTATTAAACTTCGACACATAATCTAACCGGTGCCATTTATGTCAGTTGTGTGTGTATGTGTGTGTTTACACAGTTTGGACAGGTGCGCTCCCTGTTGCACTGTGCAGGGATTACACAGTGGTGAGAACCAGTGCCAAACTCCAGCAGCGAGAACACACTGCCTGAGCTGTGGGACCTTAATATCATATCATTAATGATATTGGTTTTTATACACACACCCATTCGCTTTTCCACCGCCAGTCCCTCATACTGAAACTAAAGAACAGGTATTTAGTTGTTATGCACAGTTAAACTGTGGCGACTACTTTATATGCTCTGTGTGGATATGAATACTATATGAGTTTATGCCCTTGGGCTCAAGCATTAGCCATACTAGCAGTGTGATTCGCTGCAGACTGTAGTAGTAATGGCTGCTAATAATTCAGCTTTGCCATCACAGAAATAAATTATATTTTAAAAGCGGACGCATCTTCTTTACTAATCTCTCTGGTTATTTGTTCAAAGGGAGAGAGAAGTGTAGTTATGCTTTCCATTAGTGTCCACTGCTGCGCAGTAGGTGTGACTGGTAGTTCGTTGTGACGAGAGGGGCGGGGCCGAGAGCCGTGAGAACGGAAAGAGGCCGGTGGAGTAATTGCTAATGCGCGACACCTGCGCCACTCACCGGTCCCACGGCTCTCGGCCCCGCCCCTCTCGTCACATTCGTAATCTGCAGCGTATGCTGACCAATCACATACTGACCAATTCTGTCACACTTCTCTGGCTTAATATTCCTTCGTTGACAGCCAGCTGGAGGGAATGAGCCATACAGGGCAAACTCATAATCTCACTGTCCGTCATGGCTTTAGCCATGTTCCTCGCGTTGTCGCGTACAACAGCGTGCACTCTTGATCTGTCGATTTTCCATTTGTCTAACATGTCAGTGAATGCTTGAGAGATTGCCAACGAAGTGTGAGAACCGGTAAATTCTTGTGAATGAAGCAAGACTTTTTAAGTTTAAAATCACAATCGATCCACTGAGCAGTGAGACTAAGCATGCTCGTAGGGCTTACCTCTGTAGACCAAATATCTGTGGTGAAGCTCATCGCGGAGTCGTTATGAAGAAGCTTGTGAACGTGATCTGCCACACGGTTGTATATCTCCGGTAAGCAGACGTCTGCGAAATAACGTCAACTCGGTAAAGTGTAGCGAGGCTCAAGGTGTCTTACCAGTCGCTGAAATCCGGTGTCTTCAACTACGGAGAATGGCTGATCATCAAGCGCCATAAATTCCATTACTTTCTGAGTAATTTCACGCGCTTTCGTGCTGTCAGATTTGAATTTTCTGGTGCTGTCAAACACTTGCGCGATAGAGGGAGTCACGCTAGCCTTTGTTTGGCATTTAGCTTTTGTAGCTAAAGCAGCCTCCGCTTTAGCTTTGACGAACTCGTCATATTCCTTGGCATGTCGGCATTTAAGGTGTGTAATCAAATTAGTTGTGTTAAAATTTTTAACTGAAGTTCCACCTCGCGAAATTTTAGCTGTGCATAGCTTACAAACTGCAGTTTTGTCGTCATTGTCACCCACTTCAAAGTAATTCCACACAAGAGACATCTTTACACACAGCACGTATTCGATGCATTCCCGCCAATTTTGATTGACAGGATATATCGGCACCTGATCATCGGATGTTTTTAAACAATCGGCCGATGGCCGATATCGCGAAAAATTGCTTCTATCGGCCGATACCGATTGTTGGCCGATACATCGGTGCATCTCTATGTAAAATATTTATATTTTGATCAAATAAATTCAGCCTTGGTGAGAGCTGAATCTTTCAAAAACATTAAAAAAAAAACATACTTCCCAGACCAGACTGTTGAACATTAGTGTATGTTGTGTAAACATAAATGATGTACTGATCCTGTTTGCAAAAATTGTGACTTAAGCTTAAGTATCCATGTTGGTGGTTGGACTAATGACTTCTTTGCACTAATGAACCTCCAAAGCTCAAGATTGCAAACCAGAGATGATTAAATGTTCAGTATGAAAATGTACTGTATACAAATGGTAGTAGTGTGTTCCTTCCTTTCCTTCATGCCCTTTTCAAATACCACGGAAGATTAAGGCAGACAGTAGAGACCTGAAGGAAATTTCTCTGTAAAAAGCATGTCCATTTTTGCACATAATGTGATACTGTGCATTTACATTGCATAACATTTATGGATTTGGCAGATGCTTTTATTCAAAGTGATTTATAGTGTATTCAAGATAAACATTTTATAAGTTTATATGTTCCATGGGAATCAAACCCTTGACCTTGGTGTTGCTAGTGCAATGCTCTGTTGTTTGAGTTTTAAAGAAGCAGGCTGCGGATCAGTGCTGTTATTTTTACTTTAAGAATGTTGAATACACAATAAACCCAAATAAGCTGTTGTTTACAGTGAATTTCAAACAGCTAAGGGACATTGTTAGGCACAACGCGGAGCTGTTCTAAATTCGCTGTAAACCATTGCTTTCATAAAGAAGTTAGCATGTGCTTGGCCCACCCATTAAGTCAAAATTCACAACAAAATCTACTTAAATTTGATGTTCCCTTCATGCACTGGAGCATAAATAATAAGTTTACCATTTTTATTTCAGCCATTATTATTGGCGATATTGTCAAGTTTAGGTTATTTTGTGATGCCTGGAGTTCATTTTCTACTTTCAGTGATTCATGTGTTCAAAATGTATCCATAGATTTTTACAGTTGTTGTGTTTTGTGCACCAAATCTTGAGGTTTGTGTGTGCAGCTGGGTCTCTTGTTTCCTCAACTTGTAAGATCTTGTTGTCTTAAAAATTACAACAAATCATTGGGCTGTCTGAAATGTCAATATATACTGCTCATTTAAAAAATGTTGATTTGAAGTGCCATTGCCTCAGATTTGCATGTTTGTACATGTCTGAATTTTCTTCACTCCAGTCTTCAGTGTCACATGATCCTCTAGAAATCATAATATGCTGTTTTGGTGCTCAAGAAATATTTCTTATTATTATCAGTGTTGGAAACAGTTGTGCTGCTTTATGTGTTTGGAGAAACTGTGATACATTTTTTTGAGGATTCTGAATCTAAAGTTTTATTTATTTGAAAATGTAATTTAATTTATTTGAAATTGAAATATTTAAGAGCATTATAAATAACTTTGCTGTCACTTATGATCAATTTATTGCATCTTTGCTGAATTACTATATAGTTTGACCTTCGTAGTAAAAGTGCAATGAACTGTACTGTGTGTAGGAATCACCAGCCTCATTCTTCCAATTCCCAACAGTCATATTTAGTCAATTGTGGAAGCAATTTATCACATTCATCTCATGGTTCCATTTCTCTCAACCCATTTTGCATAATTGCCTGATTTCCTCTCACGTCGGTGATGACAATTTCCTTTTCTTCTCATCCTCCTCTCTGTAGACAGCTCCATTTATTGCTGCCATTTGCAGGAACCGCGGGAGGCTCATCTTAGTGGACTCGCTCTGTCTTATCCTCAGCTTGGATGGTTGAAGGACCATCTGCTGAGAGGAATTTAGAGCCGTCCTGAAGTGGAGAGGCCCAGCGCGTGACGCCTTGCTGTGTAACCGTTCTTCCTCTCTTCTACCATTGTGTACCTTCTGATACAGCCCACTCACTCCCACTCACCCCCTGGCTTGTTTTCCTCTCATTTTCTCCTCCCTTCATCTTTTATGATGGAATTAGAAAGGCTTAAGAGCAAAAGTGTCTGCTGGACCTCGCAGCAGACGGGTTGTCGCGCTATGCCTCTCAGCGTAAAGTGTCAAACGTGGCCACCTGCGCAGCTTCAGGCACTGTCTGAGGAAACAAATCACACGCGCCGCAGTCGTTTCTCAAATGTTCAACCTTTCTTTCACCCGCTTTCTTTGTGTTTCCATCTCTCAGCTCTGATCTTTCTACTAATCTCACCCCTTCTTACTCAAACATGCATGTACGCGCTTGCCTCCCACTTATCCGGTGAATAACTGCATTCATCTGCTGTGGGAGAAGATGAGGCCATCGGTTGGGGTGTGAGAGCAGTCAGCTCAAGACTTGGTGTTTTTGTGAAGACTTCCTCCTCAGAGCAGCTGCTCGGCTTGTGTCCATCTTAACCTTGACCTTAAGCATTTAACGAGTTGTCAAGAGGCTGTCAAGATGTTTCTATATGTGATCTGTGACTAGCTTTTAGGGCCCTGTGCATGAAAGAAATATCATTATTGCTATTTTTCGCACATGTCTTAACAAGTTAAGATGCAGTAAGTTATATGTTGTGC